TGTATCTTATATTCCACTCCCTCCTATACCTTTTCCATCCTTGCGACAATACTCGGCTGATGTATCTTATATTTGTACATATCCATCTCTCCCTCCACATTCACGCACACACCGATGCACACTCTCACAGCCACACACACACACACACACACACACACACACACACACACACACACAATCACACACACACAATCACACACACACAATCACACACACACACAAACACACACACACACAATCACACACACACACAATCACACACACACAAACACACACACACACACACAAACATACACAAAGAGCGCAAACCTCATGCCATGCTGGAGAAGGGAGAGCTTGCGGGTCTTGCAGATGACAAGATCCGCCCACTGGGCAATGACAATGGAGACGAAATACGCCGTGTGGCCCATGTACTCCAAGCTCTTTCGTTGGTCATACGTCTGCAAAATGAACGAATGAGAGGAAGGAAGGACAGAGCAGAGTAGAGAAGAGATAAGAAGGCAAAGCGTGTGCATTTGGGGAAGCGTGATGGATATTGAAGAAGCCCTCATGCTCGTTTGTCGTGAAGCGATTGCACGCAAACGTATACACACACAATCACACATGCACACAGTGCACAATCACACACACACACACACACACACACACACAGTGCACCAACCCATTGCTGGCCGTAGCTGTCGGTGACTTCGTCGTTGTCGCGGTTGTCCCAGTCCTCACGGAGCCCAAACAGCTGGTTCGCCAGAAACCCGTTCTCGCCATACAGCGTAAAGTACGTGAGAAACCCCGCCAGCGTCTGCATAGACCCGATGTGGAGGTATGAAAACTGCAGCAATCGCGGGTTGACGAGCCGGTCCTTGGTCGGGTTGCGCGGCCTGCGATACATGATGTCGGGCTCCGGCACCTCGTACGCCAGCGAGATGGCAGGGACCTACGGTGGAGGGTTCGAGGAACGTAGTGATTACGGACGTGTGAGGACAACGAGGAGCACGGCGGTGTTGACATGCACACACAATGTCGCAGGCATGTGTCATACATACATACAGACAGACACATAAACACACACACACACACACTGTCACACACTGGCGCGCGCGCGCGTGCACACACACACACACACACACACACACACACACACACACACCATGTCTGTGCCGAGGTCGATGAGGAGAATGGTGACAGTGCCTAGCGGAAGAGGAGCGGATGCGAGGACGAAGAACAGAAACGGGCTCAACTCCGGCAGTTTGGATGACAGCGTGTATGCAATGGACTTCTTTAGGTTGTCGAAGATGAGTCGCCCTTCCTCCACGCCAGTCACGATGGACGCAAAGTTGTCGTCAAGAAGAATCATGTCTGCTGCCTGCTTGGACACATCGGAGCCGGCGATACCCATGGCAACACCAATGTCCGCTCGCTTCAGCGCAGGGGAGTCGTTCACACCATCGCCCGTCACAGCAACAATCTGGCCAGCACGTTGGCAGCCTGAAGAGTGGCAATGCGGTTGAGAGAGAGTGTGTGTGAAGGTGTGTGTGTGTGTGAAGGTGCGTGTGCGTGCGTGTGTGCGCGTGCGTGTGTGCGCGTGCGTGTGTGCGTATGTGCGTATGTGTGTGTGTGTGTGCGTGCGTATGTGTGTGTGTGTGCGTATGTGTGTGTGTGTGTGTGTGTGTGTGTGTGTGTGTGTGTGTGTGTGTGTGTGTGTGTGTGTGTGTGTGTGTGTGTGTGTGTGTGTGTGTGTGGTGAGCAAGTGCATCCGATGAAAGGTGTCAAACTCTCAAAGTACAATACACGCACGCACACAATATCACTCATACGCGCGTACAACACCCCCCTCGCCTGCACCGCACCTTCGACGATGATGAGCTTCTGCTGCGGAGATGTGCGGGCAAAGACAATTTCGCGGTGCTGTGCGAGGATGCGATCAAGCTCGGCCGCGCTCATGCGGGCCAGCTCCGACCCATCCTGCAACCGCGAGCAGTTGGGGAAGCAGATACGGGTAGGGACAGCACAATACAAGCAGCAGGCACATGTGTGTGAATGTGTGAGAAAGCGAATGTAGGAGCGTCAGCGCGTTTTGTGTCCCAGTGGTCGATGGAGTCAGTAGACGATAGATGAGCACCTCCCTGCAGTGCGCGCGTGCACGTGTGCAATCCAATTTCTCACGGAGATCACGCGCACCTTGATGACGATGGCACCCGCCTCTGAGGGATCGACGGATGACACGTCCACTCCCCGCTCTTCTGCAATGTCTTCGACAGTTTTTTCATCGTGGATGATGCCAACTTGCTTTGCAATGGCCTGGGCTGTAATGGGGTGGTCCCCAGTCACCATCATGACCTGTATTCAGACATGGGTTTGGGGTGTTGCGAAGAATGGCGTGAGGGTGTTCGGTGTGGAGCCATCACGAACACATGAAAACAAAGTACGCAAACCCACACCGCACATGAAGCCAACCCCCAACGAACACACACACACACACACACACACACACACACACACACAC